ATGTAACGGCGCTAACTTCGACATAAACGCCTAGTGTAGAGCAGGCCTTAGTCTCTAAGGTGCCACAAGTACTCCTGTTCTATCTGTATTCAGCTTTTTACTATATTAGGTTTAGACTTGCGTGTTTTATTTTATTTTGCTTTGCTTGGTAATTCACTTTGTTCTGTCTGCTATTCTTGGAACCACTTAAATCCCACTTTTTTATTTAATAAAATCACTTTCTACTTATTAATTAACATAGCATATGTATTAATACCTGGGGGGGGGGGGCAAATAGCTGTGCATATCTCTCCATCAGTGTTACAGAGGGCGGACAATTTTTGAGTTTACCCTTTATAAGTTTTATACAGGGTAAAATGGATTTATTTGGGGTTTGGACCCCACTGGGAGCTGGGCATCTGAGTGTTCGAGACAGGAACACTTCTTAAGCTGCTTTCAGTTAAGCCTGCAGCTGTTGGGGGATGTGGTTCAGACCTGGGTCTGGGTTTGCAGCTGGCTAGCGTGTCTGGCTCAGACCAGGCAGGGCACTGAAGTCCCAAGTTCCAGGGAAAACAGACTTAGAAGTAGTCTCAGCACATCAGTTGGCAGCCCCAAGGGGGTTTCTGTGATCCAATCCGTCACACAAATGGTGGCAAATGCCAGACCCTTTCAGGCCGGCTTCCTGTTAAAGGAAAACTCAGGGCTACAAAGCCTGGGGCTAATCTCTGTGTAACTTGTTTATTATGTACCTCAGTCCTGGCACAGCGGTGGTAGCAAACAGCACATGAGCAACAACCTCTTCCAGGAATCCCAGTCCAGCCACGGAGGGCAGCAATTCTGCCTTAAGAACTGACTCTAGTTAGACAAATAAGTTAGGGAGAAAACTCTCCTGCTGCTTGTAACAGCTCCCTATCCCCTCCAAAAGACCCACTTAATCAGATGCATGAAGTGGAAACGTAAGTGGGCAGATATATATACACATGCAAAGATGGGTGTGTTACTATGTTTGTACCTATATAAATTTGTTAATCTTTAAGGTGCCACAGGTCTCCTTGTTGTTTCTTCTAAGGAAGGTTTATTTCATTATTCTCCTGCCTGGGATCAGTTGCACTCTCGTCTGAAGCAGCGACCGAGAGCAGTGTCCCGTCGTGCTAGGTGCTGCGCAGCCGCACACTGACCGAGATCGGGGCCCTGTTGTGCTGGGCTGCACCTACTGAGTCGTTGCCCTCAACACTTCAGTAATAAAACTGATTCTTTCCCCCCGAAACAGGCTATTCAGGTTCTACACCAGACTTAATCCACCGGATCAAGGTACGGGAGGCAGAGCTCTGGATCCGGGATGCCGAGGACTCCAGGGAAAGCTCCGGGCCTGAGAGCTCCTCCCCAGGTGAGTCCCTTCTGGTTTACATACCTGCTAGGAGAGGGCTTCTTAATGTAGAAGGCAAAGGCAGAGCGAGCTCCAGTGGCTGGGAGCAGAAGAGAGACAAATTGAGGCTGGGAATTAGGGGCCAGTGTTTATCTAGGAGGTGAATGAACCATTGGGAGCGCTCCCCTCATGATGCAATGGATTCTCCCTTACTTGGAGTCTGTCAATGGAGATGGGCCTCACAAAGCCCTGCTCTAACTCAGCCAGGAGTTACTGGGGAAGATAGTCTGGTAGGAATCCCAGCTGGATAGGCACAACGAGAACTAGATAGGATAGGACTGGAAGGGACCTCAGTAGGTAGTCAAGTCCAGTTCCTGGCACTGCGGCAGGGCTAAATATTACCTAGACCATCCCTGTCTCGTATCTGTCTAACCCGTTCTTAGTAACGTCCAATGCTGAGATTCCACAACCTCCCTAGGTAATTTGGTCTGGTGTTTAACTACCCTCAGAGTTTGGAAGTTTTTCCGAATGTCTAACCTAAATCTCCCTTGCTGCAGTTTAAGCCCATTACTTCTTGTCCTGGCATCAGTGTTACCCACACAAAATTCTCTGTCGCTCACACAGTTTATAGGCCCCTACTCTTACCCGTTCAGTGAGCTCACTGAATACCCTTACACTCTGCGAGTTTGTGGTGTCTTTTACCAGTGAAAGAGCCTTATACAGCAATACCCTACTTAACGTCTATTTATTACCAAACACCACAAACAGACTGCACACACTAAGCATACATTGCTCACCATTCCCAATAAGCCAGATGAACTTTTCTTGATGGCCAGTCAGGATCAGGTCCATCTGGGGGATTCCAGTTTCTGCATAGTGTCATTGGCAGAGTGTTGAGGTCTGGCAGCTCTGAGCTTGGGGCTGTGTCCTGGAGTTGGTTTCCAAAGAAATTCCTTTGGGACCCCAGTTTATATGGTGAAAATTGAGTCCTACTTAGCTGTATCTTAACTAACTTATACTAACATTTTACTAACCAATCCTAACATATTGTAACATAATTCTCTAACAATTATATCCCAGCACCTTAATTGATTTACACCTTGAAAAATTAATTATACAGCAGCCAGAAACAATCAAAGAACCAGACAGAGGTCATACAGACAAACAATAGGGAAGTGGGGAGCATAAAGACAAAAAAATAAAGAAATGGGGATTTCACAGCCACCAACAATTGATAAGTAATTTCTTGTTAGAGAGAATGCCATCCCACCAAGGTTTCTGTAACCATCTTAAGATGTTTCTTTTTTTGGCAGTCATTTCCCATTCTCTATTTGTGTAATTGATCATTCCTACCTAAGTGTAGTATTTTGCATATGATCTTACTGAATGTCATCCTATTTAATTTCGACCATTTCTCCAGTTTGTCAAGGTTCTTTTGAATTGTAATCCTGTCCTCTAAAGTGCTTGTCACCCCTCCCAGCTTGGAATCATCTGTAAACTTCATGAATGAATGCCCCACACCATTGTCCTAATAATGAATGAAGATACGGAATAGAACTGGATCCAGGACATATCCGTGTGGGATCCCACTTGATATGTCCTTTCAGCTCAATTTTGAACCATAATAACGACTCTGAGTGTGGTTTTCCAGCCAGTTGTGCACTCACCTTATAGTAGGTTTGCCTAGGCTATATTTCTCTGGTTTGTTTATGAGAAGGTCATGCAAGATAATATCAGAAGCCTTACTAAAGTCAAGATGTGACATCTACTGCTTCTCCCCTATCCACAAAGTTTGTTACTTGCCTAAGGAGGATATTAGGTTGGTTTGACATAATTTGTTCTTGAGAAATCCATATTGACTCTTATCTGTTCCTTTATTTCCTTCTAGGTGTTTACAAATAGAATGTTTGATTACTTATAGAATCATAGAAGATTAGGGTTGGAAGAGACCTCAGGAGGTCGTCTAGTCCAACCCCCCTGCTCACTGCCGGACCAATCCCCAACTAAATCATCCCAGCCAGGGCTTTGTCAAGTCGGGTCCTAAAAACCTCTAGGGATGGTGATTCCACCACCTCCCTAGGTAACCCATTCCAGTGCTTCACCACCCTCCTAGTGAAAGTGTTTCCTAATATCTTATGTAGACTTCTCCCATTGAGAAACCATTACTTGGGACCCCTACTCCTTGTTTTGTCATCTGCCACCACTGAGAACAGCTGAACTCCATTCTCTTTGGAACCCCCCTTCAGGTAGTTGAAGGCTGGTATCAAATCCCCCCTCAATCTTCTCTTCCGCAGACTTAATAAGCCCCGTTCCCTCAGCCTCTCCTTGCAAGTCACGTGCCCCAGCCCCGTAATCATTTTCGTTGCCCTCTGCTGGACTCGCTCCAGTTTATCTCAAGACAGGATCAATCACGTATGATGAGTGTGAGGTCGCGCCTAGTCGGAGGACGCCATTTTGTAGAGCAGGTCTCAGGCACTTGTAGAGCTTCACTGTAATGCTCTAAAACTGCCCTGTGTTCCAGGCAGCTGCTGCTGGGGGCGCGGACGCACGTGGGGTACAGAGGAAATTGTCCTGTGGGCCACAACTTGGAGTATCCTGGTGTATGGGTTGGGTGTGAGGGAGAGGGGGTGGGATGGTTTCTGTCACATCACCTCTCCTCCTGCTCTCTCAGTGGCACAAAATCATTGTCACTTACATTGCTTCAGTGTCAATGCTTAGCACAGCCCTCAGCATTAACGCGTCTGTGACTGTCTGTAGACCAAAGGCCTGCTGGGTGGCACCATTCACCCCTTCCAGCTCAGCAGTGCCACGGATCAGGTTGTAAAACAAGACAAAAATATTTTTGAGGTTACATCTCACAAACCCTGAGTGACTTGGTATCCCCTCAACCCCCTTCCCTCACCCCCGCCCTGCAAAAAAACCCAACCTTCTTGAGAATTTTAGTTTAGTTTTATTTTTGCACAAAGAATGAAACAAACATCGGGCCCAGGAATAAGCTACATTGTGCTAAGCAGCTAACTGTGTCTACGTGAGGGGATTTTAGCCCCTCAACTGAACTATATTGAAACCAGTATTGTTAAAACAGCACAAAAAGTGGGGACTAGGCCTCGTGCTGTAAAACAGGAGAAAGTGAAGAACCAGCACCATGTAAATAAAAACCTCTGATTGAAATGAAACCAAAATCAGATTGAAAACAAACCATGGACCCTGTTTCAACTGCCTGAGCACCGAGGGGCCCTAGTCCTGGGTCAGGGCACTGCCTGGATTCTGGGCAGTTTAAACATAAAACAAGACCCAAGAGGCGCATGGCACACATGGGAGCAGGCGCTAGGTGCTGCACAAACAACATAGGGTAGAAGCAACATGAGTCAGGGTGCAGATTTTCACGGCATTTTGTCTCCAAAATTACAGCCCAGTTTCTGTACTTTTAGTTAAAGTCACAGGTCACAAAATTTACTATGACTGCTTGAAGATTTTTAATAAAACCTGCCCCTCTCCTCACCCTGCCCAGGGGCACTTGCCACCCAAAGAAGCAAAGAAGCCCCCTGCCACCCAGCGCTGCAGCCCTAATCCCAGCCCGGTGCAGAGTGGTTGGGGTGGGCTAGAGTGGATGTGGGTGGCAATGCCCTTCACTGAAGTTTGTCCCTTTCCCCCCACCATCATGACTGGGGGCGGGGGCAAATCTGAGTGGCGCTGTAACCCCACAGGCCAGGTCTCAGTGCCCGGAGCGAGGCATGGGGCCCAGCCCTGGGGACAGGAGCCGCCATTGCAGGCAGAGGTTCACATCCCCAAAAGAGTCACTGAGAAGTGGGGAAATTGCTCTGTCTGTGACATTTTTCCTTCCTTCCTTGACAAATCTGCAGCCCTAATGATGAGCTAACACCGGAATGGCCTCTGCTCTCTCCAGCAGGGCACGGGATCCCGGGAGAAACAAGGACACAGTCTGAATGTGGGGAGAGCAGTGCCAGTACACTGACTAAGCATCAGCGCACGCATAGCAGAGAACAGCTCTACCACTGTGCTGACTGCGGCAAGGGCTTTTCACAGATTTCATGCCTGAGAAGACACCAGCGCGTACACACTGGGGAGCGGCCATACAGCTGTGCTGATTGTGCCAAGGTCTTTTCACGGATTTCAGCCCTGAAAATACACCAGCGCACGCACACAGGGGAGTGGCCATACAGCTGTGCTGACTGTGGCAAGGGCTTTTCACGGATTTCAGCCCTGAAAATACACCAGCGCACGCACACAGGGGAGTGGCCATACAGCTGTGCTGACTGTGGCAAGAGCTTTTTACAGATTTCAGCCCTGAGAAGACACCAGCACGTACACACTGGGGAGTGGCCATACAGCTGTGCTGATTGTGGCAAGGGCTTTTCACGGATTGCACACCTGAAAATACACCAGCGCACACACACAAGGGAGCGGCCGTACAGCTGTGCTGACTGCGGCAAGAGCTTTTCACAGATTTCAGACGTGAGAAGACACAAGCAAGGGCTTTTCACGGATTTCAGACCTGAAAATAGAGGAACAAAAAGATCTGCATCTTAGCAAACAACAGCATGAAACCCCTTCTGGCCAGAGTTCATGTATCCCCACTCAGCTGAGGAGAGGTTTATCTCTGAGTCACTCTGAGAAAAATCCATTTCAAAGGTGATTGAATTATAAAAGAAAGGGCCCAAAACACCCCTTGTTATCTCTCCCTGTCCAGCTCTCATTTTCACCTGAGAGGACAAAAAAAGGAAAGAAAAGAAAACAAAAACAGCTCTTGGACCCCAGGAACTGATCCGGAGCTGAAAACGTGGTCAGCAATACCACTGCAAACCTGTGTTAAGGGACTTCACTTTGAACCACGTCTAGTTTGTTCAGTTTAGTACTAGGAAGTGTTTTTATATTTCTTTTTCTTGTCACCATTTCTCACTTTGATGTCTCATCTCTTGTACTCACTTGAAATCTACCCTTGTGGTTAAATAAAATTGGTTTCTTCCTTAATTGCAACGAATCCAGTGTTGTGACCTGTGTGGGTAACTCCATGTGGGGTGACAAATTGTTACCTATTGATTCCCTTGGAGGTGCAGATTTCAACTGAACAGCTCATGTTTATTTTTATGATGGGCCCACTTCAGAACTCAAATCCAACACTCTTGTGAAGTGATTTGGGTTTGGAACTGAAGTTTAGGAACTTGAATTTGGATCAAAGCTTCACAACTGACCCACTTGTGCTATTAACATTCCAAAGTTTAATAGTGTGACTTTCCAGTTCTGAGTTCTTAGTCATTATAATATATTCCGACATTATGGGCCCAATCCAGCAAACTCTTAAGCTTATGCTCAATTATAAGTGTAACCCTTCTGCCCATCTAAGTTGGCAGCAACAAGGGCCGGGTTCTGTATCTAGGGATTCTGTTTCAATAACACAATGCAAAACCGGCTCGAGCCCCCACCCAGTGACCTGGGACAATTACATACCACCCCCTGGGCGCCTCTAAGAGGCAATACTTCCCCTCTCGCAAGCACGGAGTCTGAGTGTAGCAGAAAGTGTTTAATAACATGAGGTAAACGACATCAGCATTAAATTGGAAAAAAACACCCCAAACAGGATTCCTAACACAAACCATGAGCAAAAGACCCACCCCAGCAAATTGGGCCGTGTCCTTTCCCGTTGGTTCTTGAATCCAGCAACCCAAAGATCACCAGAGTCCCCAAAGTCCAACACCCCCAAAGTCTCTTGGGTCCAGCAACCACCCAAAGTCCCAAAAGTCCAACAACCCCCAAAGTCTCTGTCCCTGGTCAGTGCAGCCCCAGAGTAAAAGGGGGGGCACGCAGGGTGTTAAGGGGCACCTTACGTGATCCGAGGTCAGCCGGCCATCTCTCCGTGGGGTTCCACCGCAGCCTTCACCACGAGCCAGTCCACTTCCTGCCGTCCCATGAACTGCTCCGCTCTACAAGCTGCTCTGCTCCGCTCACCGACCTGTGAGCCGTTCCAGCCGTCCCCGCAAACAGCTCCGCTTGCCATTCCTTGGGCCACCCCAACCGTCCCCGCAAGGCTCCGCGCCACTCACTGCTTATCCAGCCGTCTCCGCAAACTGCTCCGCCAGCCACTTAGCAATATAGCTTCAGGCTCTCCCACTAGTTAACACAGCACCTAGTGATCTCAGCTTTTAGTAACTTTACCTCTTTTGTGATTTCAGCTCATAGTAGGGGAGCCCCAGTGCTGGTGCACTACTGGCCCAAGGTGAATTCAGCTCAGCAGCCTGTAACTAGACTCTTAATGGACTCAAAGTTAGCTCTGACATTCAACAGTGGAGTAACTGGTGTTTAAGACTCTCAAAAGAAACCAATGCCATCAAGTACAAATATCTATCCCCCTCCTCTCTCAATTCACTGGGTTATGGAACCCATGTCCCTTGTCTAGCGAGTGCTACTTAGGTGATGGAGAGATCCTCTGTCATAAAACAGTTTCATTGTCCTTGATTCACATAATCAGGGTAACAACACTTTATTCCTCCGGCCCCAATAACAGAGAAACTGGGGATCCCACACCAGCCAAAGTAACCACTTTCAGTTGCTGTTGTCTCATGCCAGGCGGGTGGGTGTGCCTATGCAAACAAGATCAGCCCCTGGAGTTCTTTTCCACACTCGCCATAATTCACCACCAGATGTCAGGGTGGAGCTCATCCTGACTCTGCTTACATAAGCATGTGAGTGGTCCCACTGAAATCAATGGAACTGCTCAAGTGCTTGGACTTAAGCACACTGAAGTACTCTGCCAGGTGAGGGCCTTAAGAAAAAGTGAAATAAAATATTGTCAGTTTCAGGGGAACTGCACTTGTATTCCCCTCACCTTCCCACTCCCCCGGCCCCTGCTGCCTCCCCACCCACCTCCCCATTGCATTGCCCCCACTGCCCCCCCCAGAGCCCAGCAATCTCCCCTGAGCCTTCCCCAGGCTCCCCATGCACATCCCCAACATCCTGGTTTCCTGCTGCCTCCCCCAGTCTCCCCAACCATCCCCCCATTGCCCCTGGCCTGTCCAGCTTCCCGCGGGCTCCCCGAGCCCCTCTGCTAACCCCCCCTTCCTGAATTGCCCTGAGCTTCCTTCTGCAGTCAGCCAGCCACACCTTGCTTTTCTCACCAGCCTGGATCATGGCAGGGTGACCCCAACACACTCCTAGTCCCAGATTTTCCCTCAGAAATGGATGTTCTGTCATGTCCAACCCTCTTCCAGACAGTCCAGAAATACTACATTGGTTATTCCTTTAAAGGGAATAATGTACACCAGCTCATTTTCATAAATTAAGTTACTCTGACACTTTTCTTAAATTTTCTTTCCACTAAAAAGGGAAGAATTTAGAGGGCAAGAATTTAGCAACATTCAGAGAGTGACTGGATATTTCTGTGGACCACAGGAACTTCCAGAGCTGGAATAGTTAATGCAAACAACCACTGGCAGGGATAGTAAACCTCCTGCTCCAAGACTGGCACTGACTGTAACTATTAAAGACCAAGATGAGACCTAGCACAGAATGATTATCCCCAAATCTGTTACTGTGGGATTCTTACACCTCTGCAGCCTCTGATGCTGGAAAGAGGACACTGGAGTGGACAGGCCTCTGCTGTGATCCAGTCTGGCAATTCCCTATGACCTAAGTCAGTGGCTCTCAACCTTCCCAGACTACTGTACCCCTTTCAGCAGTCTGATTTCTATTGTGTACGCCCAAGTTTCACCTCACTTAAAAACTACATACTTAGAAAATCAGACATAAAAATACAAAAGTGTCCCAGCAGACAAGTACTGAGAAAATGCTTATTCCTCGTTTTTGTCATATCATTATAAAATAAATCAACCGTACTAATAAGATTGTACTTATATTTCAGTGTATAGTATATAGAGCGGTATAAGCAAGCCATTGTCAGTATGAAAGTTTAGTTTGTACTGACTTTGTGAGTGCTTTCTATGTAGCCTGCTGTAAAACTAGGGCTACTATCTAGATGAGATTGTGTCCTCCCTAGAAGACTTCTGCATACCCCCAGGTGTACTCCTAGTTGAGAACCACTGACCTACATGATTTGTCCAAGGTCACAGAGGGAGCAAGTGACAGAGCTAGGAATAGAAACCAGGAATCCTGTAGCCCAGCCCAGCCCCATAGCCAGCCACAAGCTCAGCCTCGCTTCCTCATTCAAGCAGGGCTGGCTCTAACTTTTTTGCCGCCCCAGGCAAAAAAGAGCGCCATCCCGCCGCGCCACTGACCCCCTCCCCCCCAGTGCTGCGCCGGGCTACCGAAACCCCCGTTCCCCCCCCCCCCCGGACGCGTCGCGCCGCACCACCCAAACCCCCGAGCGCTGCGCCAGGTCGCCCCCTGGAGTGCCACGCTGGGCCGGGCCGGGCTGCCCAAACCCCCAGAGCAGAGCGCCGCACCAGCCAAACCCCCGCCTCCCTCCCGAGCACCACGCCGGGCCGCCCAAACCCCTGCCCCCTCTCCCCCAAGTGCCGCGCTGCGCAAACCCCCGAGCGCTGGGCCGGGGCGCCCAAACCCCCGCCCCCTGGTGCGCTGTGCTGCCGAAGCTCCCGCACCCCCCCAGTGCCGCACCATCCCCCAGCACTGCCCAGCTGAAACAAAAAAACAAAACCCTCGAGCGCCGCCCCACCCGCCGAACAACACAAAAAAAACCACCGCGAGCGCCCCCCCGCAACCCCAACACTGGCCACCCCTTCTAAGGTGCCGCCCCAAGCACGTGCTTGGTCGGCTGGTGCCTGGACCCGGCTCTGCATTCAAGGCTGTGAATGTCCCTTGGCATGGTCTCGCCTAGCCCAGAGAATGCAGCAAGGGTGCAGCCCATGAGCCCCTCTGCCCCAGGAATTGGGCTGGCATGACCCGGCTACGTTCCCCTCCCTTGATGACCATCTCAGTGGATGCTTTGGGCATGCTCTTGCTCCAGCACTGCTTGATGATGCTGGCCTGGTTGGTGTTCAGATCAGAGTTGGGTCTCTCCTTTGAAATAGCACAGAGAGGGGGAGACACAGCTGGGATCTGATTCCAGGGCAGTCCCAGCTCCCAGCCCCCACTACTATAACCCACCAGCCTCCCCTGCCCTCCCTGAGGCAGGGATAGAACCCAGGCATCCTGAGGCCCCTGGTGACCCTCCCTGCCCCAAACAATCTGCCCCTTTTCAGCCACTGTTAGCTGTTACCTCTGGCCGCATGAACCACAGGGACTGGACTTCTCCCCTCTTATGTGAAGCAGTTGCTAGAGGGGGACAGAGACCCAGCCAGCTTAGGGGAGGTGCTGTGGGACAGAGGAAAGGTCCAGTGGAGGAAGAATGAGAATGGGAGAGACACCACCCCACAGACCGGCATCCTCTGCTCCAGCAGCCAGCGATGTTGCTGGCCTTGGGCTAACAGAGGTTAGGGGCAATTAGGGTGACCAGACAGCAAATGTGAAAAATCGGGACGGGGGTAGGGGGGTAATAGGAGCCTATATAAGAAAAAGACCCAAAAATCGGCACTGTCCCTATAAAATCGGGACATCTGGTCACCCTAGGGGCAATAGGGTCAGTGGTAGTGGTCAAGGCTTGCTTCTGTAGCGCCCCCTCTGGCTGGGGCTGTGTCCCGCACAGAATCCATCCCTTCTTTCCCCACCGCAGCTTTCATGGCAAAGCACAGCAGGGCGAACTTTTGGAAGAACCCGCTGTGCTGGGCGTCCCGCAGGCCCTTGATGTGTTTAAACTTGGACCATTTGTTGCTGCTGGTGTAGGTGGCATCGGGGCTCGGCCCAATGTACAGGGGCTGGGGTAGCCAGCCGGGATGAGCCCCGAGGCCAGAACATGACATCTGTGTGTGGGGCAGCAGCCCTTCCTATGACACTGGGCAGGGATATGGGTATGAGCTCCTGAACCACAAACGTTACACAGCTGGGTGAAAGCTCCTGTAACACACACACACATACAGCCCTCCTGAAACACACACACACAATACATCCATGTGAGAGCTCCTGGAACCAAAGGTGCTAGAATTAGGGGTGCTGCATGACCCCCTGGTTTGAAGTGGTTTCCAATCCATACAGGGATTACGGTTTGGTTCACTGGTTCTTAGCACCCCCGTCCCCCACTATACAAACGGCTCCAGTCCCGCACCTTGCCTGTAACGCGCACAGACACAGAGCGAGCGCTGCTCTGACACACACCATACACAGCGTGGGTGTGTGTGTGTGATCTCCTGTGACACACGCTCCCAGCCCGCCACGGAGGGACCCCACTCCCAGCGCAGGGGGAGCGACCAGAGGCCGGATTCGGGACCCGGGCGTCCGGGAGGGCGGGGCCGGAAGGTCCCTACGCTGGGACCTGCCACGGCTGCTGGAGAGGGCGGCGCAGGCGCGGGGCCCTTGAGCCGGGGACTGGCGGGGAGCGCAGCAGGGCTGGAGCCAGCCCGTC